ATGTCTAGCGAGCATAATGTGTATTCTGCTGGTAGCAACGCCCGGTCCGTATTCTCTGGTTATGTCCAACGAAAGCACCCGTCGTGAATAGACCCACCACTAGGGGTAGCTGCTGGCAATGTGGTCGATTGGGGCCCATCACTATGAAGAGGTAGACATTTCCATGTAAATCGGAGTCATTTCTTACGGGAGACTTTGATGCTCGATAGAAACAGTTCGTGGTCTGCGCAGAGTCGAAGTAGGCAATCTCCGTTGTCCAACCGGCTTGCTGGGATTACATGTGCACCACCGAGGCATCTTTCTACCAAGTCCAGATATCCTACTTGAGCGTTGAAGTCATCACCGACTTCCACGATGTCCGTTGACCGAAAACTATAGGGCACGGCATACTTCGGGGTAGCATACACTGACGAAGTGCTTTTTCTTTGAGAACTCTGATCGGAGCCTTTAACTGAAGAGTTTGATCCACAAGATATTGGGGCCTAGATCCCACACAGGAGGGTGGTCGGAGCACCCGTGTGGGAGCTTCTATAGACCTGTCATGCATGTTCAGTGTGTTGTTTGCTGGTGCGTTGATTGCCAGTTCGTTGTTCGGGATCGGCTCTTGGTTTCGTGAACTCAATAAGGCAGCCGCAGTGTTGATGGGCAGCACCTTATAGGCTGAGGCTGCCGAGCTTGCACGGTTGGCTGCTGTTGAATAAAGTCCGAGGACTTCTTCGCCCTCCGGCAGAAGCATCAGTTATCTCGTCATTCATTAGTCAATGGGTTTTTTCACCGCCTAAAAGTTACCGTTTATCAAACGTAATGAAAATCAAAGTGCTCTACATTACTAAGTTGCCTTTACCTACCCATCGTTGTTGCACAATGATCGTTACCTCAATTTCGTTTGTTTCACAAGTAGTCGAAGCGTGCGCGAATGGAACTCAACCATTGTTTTCTCATCTATTCTCTTTGGTGATTTCCCGTTCTTTTTCACATCTTTTGTTGATTACTCAACTCATTCATACTTATTCCATTTACCGATCCCAGGGGTTTAGATAATGCAGGCAAGACGACTATTGTGAAAAAATTCAACGGCGAGGATATAAATGGGATTTCACCTACGCTGGGGTTCAGTATTCAAACTCTGGAACACAACGGCTATAAGCTGAATATTTGGGATGTGGGTGGTCAGAAATCATTGCGGTCCTACTGGCGTAACTACTTTGAAACCACAGATGCACTCGTTTGGGTTGTAGATAGCTCGGATCGACTGCGATTGGAAGATTGCCGGGAGGAGTTGTCCAAATTGTTGTTGGAAGAACGTTTGGCTGGCGCCACGTTGCTTATTTTCGCAAACAAACAAGTAAGAATAATGCGTTTCATGGTATTTTATCAACAAAATTACATAATTAAGATAACTGTTGACTGAGCTAACACGCACTGCATTGTTTGCTTTGGTGCGTAACAAAAAAATTGCATACACTCGAAAAGCAAATTGATTGCGCTTTTCGCGAAGAAAATTGTTTGCCGTATATACTATCAGGCAGTTACGTATCATGATCATGATTAATATTAATAATTATCCGACTACAGCCCAGTTTCTATCGCTGTCCGAGGCGAGCAAGCGATTATGACAAGGTTAGAGGTAATCAATGCTAGAACCGTGGAGGAGGCGAGGAGACAGGTCAGAAAGATAAAAGTAGAGAGATGTGATTAAACGTTGATGAAAGTTGCAAACTAAGGCGAGAGAGTGGGATGAAGTGACCTAAGGTACACTGGAAGCTGTATTTCGTGCGTAGCATTCGATGTGATTGGAAGCTCACAGAAGAGAAAAAAATCATTTTACCTTGGTTATCTCATCTCATTTCACGATCCTAGCATTCACCACCGTTAGCCTTTTTATAGGTGCTTGCTGGCCTCTGTCATCGGTATAAACTGAGCTGTAATGGGGCAATCAGATGTCTATTACGATCGCCATATATATATATATATAACCACCTGATTCGATATGTCTGAAAAAAATTATTTCGTGTGTACCGTACCGTTTTCTACATGCCTATGAGAATGTCCTACAAATCTGAACAAGTTGAATCGTTGTCCCTCCTAACTCGGATTTCACTATTGTTCATTATCCTTTGTAACCCGTGGTAGTCTCGATTCTAGAACCAAACACACACACGCACACACACACACACACACATATATATATATATATATTTATATATAGAATACAGAGTATAGGGAAAAAGACGTAACTGTCAGAATAGAAGATTACTAATAAATGGAATAACAATTTTTTGTGTGTTTCACCGTACACCTTTGAATTTTTGTTCTGATCGTTTGTTGTTTTTACAGGGCACGGGATTCCAACAGGTAGACCGTACAGCGTTCGCGCGACTGATTTCTATTCCGGGCCATATCTCTCAGCGTCTCTAACCAACGACAATCCTCATCCCTTGAGCCCCAACCTGGGAGCCGAAGCCAACCGAAGCCAAAGCTGAAGTCAGCTTCTTCACACCTGTACGCCATGCCATGGTCTGACGCCGCGCCGATTCTTCCAGCCTTGCTCGGCACGTGCAAAGAGAACACGGCGAGTTAGTCGATGGGCGGGCATACTCAATACGTGACCGAGCCATCGGAGGCGGTGTAGAGTGATTATTTCTGTCAGAGAACGACTATCCACACCCAACCCACTACGATGGACCTCGTGATTGTTTACCCGATGTTCCCACCGGACACGATCAATGCTTCGGAGACATCGGTGATCGAGTACAGAAAGTCGATTGGCATTTTCCGCTCGGAGGGGCCAGGTCTCGCACCCGTGAAGCAGAACACTACGAACCGCGGCGATGTACACCCTTCCCTTAAGGGACAGTCGGATATCATGACGGCGCCGTGTCGCAGGTTGGTGAAAGCTGCTCTAGCTTTTGCTATTCGAGATGTGATCTCCTCCCCAACACTCCAACCAGTTGCAATCAATCTCCCGAGGTATTTAAAGCTCTCAACTTCTCCCAGCTGATCACCACAGAGCATGAGTGCAGGCAAAGGCTCTTGTCATTCTTGAACCAGCACTTCGCACTTTGATGGTGCAAAGCACATATCACCCCTGGATACCTCGATCACCAAGCGGTTCAAAGCGTCTTGGGATAAGGCTTATAACCGTATGATTTGCTCGGGCGCTTTATAAAAATGGGGACAACGATCGATTCCCCCCACGAGGAGAGGACCTGCTAAGTGTTCCAAACTTTAGAGAACAGAACTTGTAGTTCTCTAACAAGCGTTATTCCACCATCTTTAAATAGAAATGGGGGAAGGCCATCGGAGCCCGACGCTCTGTAACGTCCCAAGGCTTGGATCTCCTTACAGATTTCCGCCTCAGAAGGTAGGTCTGTTGATACGGACCATGGGACGTGGACGTGAGAAACACGCTGGTGGTCAGCTAAACTGCTTTAAAGTGCTCCGCCCAACGTTCAAGACGTCGCTGTTGATTGTGAATGGGCGAACCGTCAGCTTCGCTGATCGTTTCGCTCACACCAAAGGCTTTCCTACCGGTGACTCGGATGAGATGGAACAGCTTACGGAAATTGACAAAGTATTGAAAATCGGTTCTCGTAGCCCGGGTAAACTAAATTCTAATTCGCCCGTTCGCCGAGCTCGGCAATTTGTTTGCAAATGTTTCATCACCAGCCAAGGTGAATTTCTCATGGCGACGGCATGCTCCATCTCTGACGCGCGTTGAGTCCACCAGATCTCGAGGTCTCTGCGTATGCTTACGTTAAGGTTACGACTCGTTGCTCGTCGTATTTACTCGCTGCCAGTCGGGATTGATCGGGCTGCGTCGATAAGGCGTAGTGATTCCGCGGAAATCCAATGTGTCGCCGCAAGCTGTGTCAGACCACAAATAACAAAGCCAGCAGAATGCAGAGCATTCTTGATAAGCGATCAATGCTGGGTAACTTCATCGATTGGGGTTGATTCTAGCTTTTCAGCTAGCTCCACAAATGTGCTGTGTTTTGTACGGAGTGCTCTTGCCAAGAAGTAAACCACATCCTAGAGCGCTACCGCTGATCGTCCGAGGCCGCTTATTCGGAGGGCCGGAGCCCACCTTATTATCCGTGAGACGACGGCCGTTCCCCTATCCGCGATCAAAGATCTTTACGCGG